CTACTCCTACTGGGTATAGTCGGCTGCTCGCTGTTAAAAGTTTACTCGTCTGTTGCTAGTTGAAAGATGTGGTTGTGTTGTCCCTGTTTTAATTGTTTATTCTTTCTTCATCCATGACTTAAACCAACACGCTCTTCTACCAAGGAATAACAGAGCAACGCGCGCGTTACAATTCAAAAAATATTTACAAGGTCAGGGTGTGAGATGGGAGAAGAGAGATAGGATCCGGCTTCCGTACACTAGCGGATTATACGAAAAATGGACACAAGAAGTTTCAAGACACACCGGTGGGAAACGCGAGCAATTGCGCTACAGTCCAAACTATTTACAAGGCCTGTGATGAGGAGGCAGATCGCTCGCTTCCAAAAATGCTCTTGTGACCAGAAGAGAACGTCCTAATCCCGTCGCTGCAAATGTATCGCTTGTTGTCGAACGGATTCAGAGCAATCTTTTCGACCGAGATGCTTTTGTTCTCGTTACGTTTTCGAGCAATCAAATGCTGCGTCACTCTGTGCAAAGTTTTCGTCTCTAGAGTATGCTTGTACAGCTCGTAGGTGAACTTGTGAGACTCAGATTTCTTTACACCCTTGGCTCTTACGCAACACGTGTTGCTGCTTGTTTTGAAGCTGTATAGCTTTGGTTTTAAGCAACAAAAAGCCACTAAGTGTGTAGTCGGATATTAATTTTTTTAACACACCGAGCCTAATTTTGTTTTCGGTTGAAAAGAGCTTGTGACACTCTCGATATCGAGATGTATGCAAGCATGCGTCTCGGAGTTGGAGCAGTTTGTCGCCTACGTCTGATCCCTGAAGGTGTAGGAAGAAGGAATCCGTGTCGCAGTAAAAAACCCTTGCTGAGGGGACCGCATGACGAAGTTGATTATGAAAGAAGTCGTACATTACTATTTTTGATATCTCAAGAATTGAACACCCTGCGTAGAGCGGTTGTTTGACTTTGATCACTCTCGGAGGAAACTGGAAAATTACGACCTGCGAGCTATGTGTTCGAAATTGCGTCAGGTTTGGCTTCTGAAGAAATTTCAGCATGTCGTCCTTTTTAACGCAGAGTTTAATGTGTCCATGTTTACGGGCATTCTCGATCGTTTTGCCATATATGCTGTTCATGAACTGTTTGGAAATATTCTTCTGGAAGGAGTTGGTTGCTTGCTGTCTCAGCTGGTGGTTAAAATCAATAAAGTCCTTCAAGAACGCTCGCTGGGAGAATTTTAGGACTCGGTGAATTTTGGTGACCTCTTGTCCTAACTGGGTGTACAGTTTCAAACTCCGGTAGTGCAAAACGCATTTCGTTTTGACGTGAAGTGTCAGCAACAGCTTCGTAGTGAATTCCTCTTTAGGCATTTCAAACTTGTCAATCAGACTTTTTTAATAGTCGGATAACCAATCGTAGGGAACGTTCTGCTTCACGGGGGCCAAGGGAAAGTCAGAATGAGTCTCGTGCAAGTGATGATGATATCTGAGGTCTACCTCCAGAATGTAGCCCGTCCGAGCGTCATCTGGAACGTCACCAATGTTCAGGCAGGCAATCTCGTCTTTCGTCATCCACTCAAAGTCCGACACTGGGAGGGCTTCTCTCATTGTCGCCGCATGCAGACCGTTTACGTCCAAGTCCAAAATCTGAGACGGTTCGTGCTGCGGGTTAAACATATCCGTTCCCGGAACATTTGCGACAGCATGACGGGTCGTGCATTGGGTAATCCCTCCGCGAATACTCTGTTCTATCATGAAATATGTGTCAAAATGGTCAATTAGCTGCAGTCTTACTTTCGACTGTTTCAACGCACACGACAAGCTTAGGGACGGTAACGATACGAAATGTAAAGCCACAATTTCGTACGTCTCCAGCGTCCACCATCTGAAGTTTTGGAAAACATCGGCAAGTAGGAGGGAGTCCGTCTTTAGGTAAAGGTCGCTGTATTCTCCTAGGTTCTTCAAACCAAAGCTACCGAGAACGACCTGCGCATGTTCGTAGTCTTCTTCACACACCCCGATCCCAGTGAACTTGTTAAAAAAGGACTCTCGTGGCGGGAGGCTTTGACCATCGTAACTCTCAAAGCTTGTAATGAAATTATAACAAAACGCTCCTTTGCGGGCAAGGAGATCGACGTGCTCGGGAAAGGACTGACGAAGGCAACAAAAATGCTCTGTTCCCTTAGAGTGGAGATTTTGCACGAGCGTCTCCAGGCTTGCATTAAGAAATGCGAGGCTGTCAATAAAGCGAAGGTTGCCTATCTCTAACAATTTAAAATTCTGGCACGAGCTTCCGAGTACGTTAATATCCTTGGACTCGAACAAATTAAGCTTGCTTAGAAAGAAACTGAGGTCGTAGGAATGGTTCTGCGCTATGAATGGAACGGTATGTTTGTTGATTTGATGGTTTAGGTTACACTGGGAGCAAAGCGCTCGCCTATACTCCCCCGTCATGTGGTCGCGGTCGCGAGTTTTAATTTTCTTGCTAAAGCTTTCGTAGCGAATACCACAGCGGGAAGAGTCCGCGTGGAAAGCCTCGTTTTCTTGAGTCATTTCAAGAGGCACTTCACTCGACCTAATCAATCGGGGTATTTCCTTCGCTAGAAAGTTGAGAATCAAAATGAATCTTTCTACGCAGTCGGGTCCGCGATAAAGGGTATTCCTCAACAATGGACGAATCGTTCGAGCGGATGACGAGAAGACAGAAAGAGCTGGGGACGTGATTCTCGTAAACATTGCCCTTCGAGTGAGTCGGTTCCAGAATTGCTTGAAAGTCGTAAACGCAATAAAAGGGGAACTCTTCCATGACATGCGTGCTCCGAAAGTATAGTTCATCATTCTTGGTTGGGAAGACGGTTTTGCCCGGCTTCTTGTCCCTGCACATCGAGAGATGGTCAGACAGGGTTTCTTGCCTTTGAAACCCGGTCAGACACCTCTTACAACAAGGGCGTTGGCTTTTGGCCTTTGAAAAATGTCTCACAAAGTTTGTAATGCCCACAAAAGGATTCTCAACAAGAAGATCGACAGTTTTTCTGGCTGTCATAACCAAACACATTCACTGAGACACAATTATTTCGCTCAAAGGCCCCACGTCCCGTTGAAAGGTAACAGGGAACGTTTTCGGAAACACATAGTTGCACATATGTTCACGATACGAGGATTCTCTTCCCCTGTAAACCCCGTTCGCAGGATGCAATACGGCAAGCACTGCAAACACAAATGTCCCGCTCAGATTCGTGAAGACGCTCACTCAAACTTACGAGGCATTGCTTTAAGGCAAGTTGGTCAGGCAGAGAAAAATGCCCGCAACCAACAGTCGCGGAAAAGAATCGTCCCAAACTAATAGTACAAACTTTGATCCCGACAAGAAAGAATCCCGAGCCTTGTTCCTGATAATGCTCCAACCGGGCAGCTATTTCAGTGCAAACACGCTGAATCAAACTACTGATATTACCGTCCACAAATGCGGTTTAGACCTGACTATGAAAAAGTGCACAGTCACATCAATGTCGTCGTCAGGAAGGAGACGTCCGAGCTCGACACCGAGTATCACAAAAAACGCAGAGGCAGACCAAAATGTCTGAGCACGTTTGACATGTGCTCTGCACGATGTCTAAAAAAGGTGGCCACGTCGTACGCCTCCGTGTCTCTTTCGTGTATGTGTAACTCGTACTGAGCCACGTAATTACGAAGAGCGCACACTCTTTCATAAAATGGTATGCATGGCGAGGGAGTCACATTGTGAACCAAGGCTAAGTGAACTTGCAGCGAGTCTGCACTGGAATAATGATGTCAATCGTCGAGAGAGCACAGGTGACAAGCAGCCGTGATGGTGATGAGATGGCTATACGATATTCGTAGATATCCGACGATTAGGTGACGAGGGGGCTAGATGATCCGAGTCGTCTAGGTGACCCTTTTAGAGATACTGAAACAAAAAATCCCATTAGCGATGAGAACGCTAGGCTTTTAGACTGCTCACCTTGCTGTGCAAGAAGGGTGTGATGGCGGACCGACGTGATTTTTCTCCCTCTCGATGACCAAATTCTGAAACAAAATGCCTTATTAGCAAGGAAAACGCGAGGCTTTTAGTCTGCTCACCTTATAGCGCGAAGATCAGGAGAAAAAACGATGCGTGATTCGGGTTGTTCGAGTGCAGTTTTATAGAGTCAAAAAGCTGGAGTACGCCCAGGGAGTCATATACCGTGCAATCGAAGTAAACGGCCAAGTCCCAATGCTTAACGCAGATTTTCCTCTTAGCAATTACTGATAGGATGAGCACGTCCGACGACACTGCCAGTAAGCAACTAATGGCCTATTCGTCTGGGGCACGAAGCACCCGCAGAATGCAATACACTCTTTCCACTTTAGGACACGGAAGGGTGGTGGGAGAGAAGGAAGCTCCCCTCTCCCCTCTAGCCTTCACGAGACATTGGCTGAAAAGAAGCGAAAACAAGTCAAACCGATCTAAGGCCGCTCCGACCGCCCGCCTCTCGCAAATTTTTTTTTTTTTTTTTTTGCATCGTGTTTAGGTATTAAGACGCGGGCAGACACGTTTCAACCTGTTCTTGGGGTGGCCAGCCCGCGGCCGCGGGTTTCGAAGGAGTTGGGAAATGTCCTGGCTACCCCGCAAGAAGAGGTTTTAACTGTGGTTTTAACAAGTTGACTGGGATCGGGGTGTGTGAAGAAGACTACGAACATGCGCAGGTCGTTTTCGGTACCTTTGGTTTGAAGAACCTTTGAGAATACAGCGACCTTTACCTAAAGACGGACTGCCTCCTTGCCGATGTTTTCTAAAACTTCAGACCGTGGACGTTGGAGACGTACGAAATTGAGGCTTTACATTTCGTATCGTTACCGTCCCTAAGCTTGTCGTGTGCGTTTAAACAGTCGAAAGTAAGACTGCAGCTAATTGACGATTTTGACACATATTTCATGATAGAACAGGGTATTCGCGGAGGGATTACCCAATGCACGACCAGTCATGCTGTCGCAAATGTTCCGGGAACGGATATGTTTAACCCGCAGCACGAACCGTCTCAGATTTTGGACTTGGACGTAAACGGTCTGTATGCGGCGACAATGAGAGAAGCCCTCCCAGTGTCGGACTTTGAGTGGGTGACGAAAGACGAGATTGCCTGCCTGAACATTGGTGGCGCTCCAGATGACGCTCCGACGGGCTACATTCTGGAGGTAGACCTCAGATATCATCATCACTTGCACGAGACTCATTCTGACTTTCCCTTGGCCCCCGTGAAGCAAAACGTTCCCTACGATTGGTTATCCGACCATCAAAAAAGCCTGATTGACAAGTTTGAAATGCCCAAAGAGGAATCCACTACGAAGCTGTTGCTCATACTTCACGACAAAACGAAATACGTTTTGCACTACCGGATTTTGAAACTGTACACCCAGTTAGGACTAGAGGTTACCCAAATTCACCGAGTCCTAAAATTCTCGCAGCGAGCGTTCTTGAAGGAGTTTATTGATTTTAACCACCAGCTGAGACAGCAAGCAACCAACTCTTTCCAGAAGAATCTTTCCAAACTGTACAGCATATATGGCAAAACGATCGATAATGCCAGTAAACATGGACACATTAAACTCTGCGTTAAAGAGGGTGACATACTGAAAATGCTTCAGAAGCCGAATTTTACGCAGTTTCGAGCACTTTGGTCGCAGGTCGTAATTTTCCAGTTTTCTCCGAGAGTGATCAAACTCAAACAACCGCTCTACGCAGGGTTCTCAATTCTTGAGATATCAAAAATAGTAATGTACGACTTCTTTCATAATCAACTTCGTCGTGCGATCCCCTCAGCTAGGGTTCTTTACTGCGACACGGATTCCTTCTTCCTACACCTTCAGGGATCAGACGTAGACGACAAACTGCTCCAACTCCGAGACGCATGCTTGCATACATCTGGATATCCAGAGTGTCACAAGCTCTTTTCAACCGAAAACAAAATGAGGCTCGGTGTGTTAAAAAAATGAATATCCGACTACTCACTTAGTGGCTTTTTGTTGCTTAAAACCAAAGCTATACAGCTTCAAAACAAGCAGCAACACGTGTTGCGTAAGAGCCAAGGGAGTAAAGAAATCTGGGTCTCGCAAGTTAACCTACGAGCTGTAAAAGCATGCTCTAGAGACGAAAACTTTGCACAGAGTGACGCAGCACTTGATTGCTCGAAAACGTAGCGAGAACAAAAGCTCTCGGTTGAAAAGATTGCTCTGAATCCGTTCGACAACAAGCGATACATTTGCAGCGACGGGATTACGACGTTCCCTTTTTGGTCACAAGAGCATTTTCGGGAGCGAGCGATCTTCCTCCTCATCACACGCCTTGTAAATATTTTGGACTGTAGCGCAATTGCTCGCGCTTCCCACCGGTGTGTCTTGAAAATTCTTGTGTTCATTTTTTGTATAATCTGCTAGTGTACGGAAGCCGGATCCTATCTCTCTTCTCCCATCTCACACCCTGACCCTGTAAATATTTTTTTTATTGTAACGCGCGCGTGGCTCTGTTATTCCGCATTTTCTTTTCTTTTTTTGCCCCGGATGCGTTTTGATATTGCTTGTGTTGTACATTTTTGTGTAAAGTGTTTCCAGTGTTTTCTTTGTCGCGTAGAGTGAATTTCAACACCGTCTTTTTATTTATAAGTGTGCGTGTTTTTAGAGCGAATAACAATAATAATAAAAGAAAACATCATATTTGTCTCGTTTTTAGCGCGTATGGATGCGATCACGCTCTGATCCATTTCCCACACAGGCACCGTTCAGTAGACAGCTAAAATTAGAGAGATGCCGTGAGTGCGAGAGTTGTCGACATCTACCAAGCTGCCGCTAACATTATCGAGAAACGTCGCGTGATAATGGTGGAAGTTCACGCTAGCTAGGAGATTCAGGTGCGAGCCATCTACAAACAGATTCGGCAACTCACACGGATTGCGCGCGCGCGAAAATACGGATGCGCACACCTTTGGAAGACGTGCAATTTTACTCTTCAGCAACAGATGGCGCAAGGTCAGACCCACGCCGCAAGATGTCGCTCATGCCCTAAAAACAAAGACGCTTAGCATCAAAAGACACGCGCCATCTATGAACCGAGGTGTGCATGCGCAGCGATTCAAATATCACGTGACGTTGGTCACATGACCCACAGGGAAAACACGCGACAATGCATTTCTCGTCACTAATCCCACGTGCCATATCTGTGGCGTCATCGTGACAGTGCATTTTTCCCTGGCAGATGACTCAACAATCCTGGACTCCTCTGTCATCACATTTTCCGGTAAGGCCCTCCGGCGATTGACTCAGCAATCCCGTTACAAAATCCAAGCGTCACGACATCTGTAACACGTGGTCTGAATTTCGTACGGCGCGCGCCGTACGAATTACTAGGACGAGTTAAGATGTCGATAAAGCAATGTGCTCGTAGCTCATCAGGTAATAAGGAAAAAAAAATGTGCTCGTAGCTCAGGCGGTAGAGTGTCGGACTCCCGTCCACAAGGTACTGAAGTCGATTCCCAGCCGCCGGAGAACCTTTTTTAGCGAATAAAATGCGTTTACCGCGCAGCGATTCAAATGTCACACGACCGTCACGCACTATGACGTCATCATCATGTGACGTCACTTTCTGGCGAATGACTCAAGTGAATTGTCCAAGGTCCCCAAAATTTGGGGCCGAGGATCGGGCTATGGGAGGGTCGTCTGTGAATGTGACGTCACGGTCCCGTGGGCGGCTGATACAGGATAGAACCCGACCCCTGAGCAACCCTCTGGCGATCCATTGACAGGTCCCGAAATTTGGGGTTCGAGGACTGGGCCTTGGGAACGGAGCGTGTGAAAGTGACGTCATGGTCACGTAGGAGGATGATACAGGATGAAACCACGGCGTGTGCCGCGTACGTGCGCTAAATTTGTTTACAATCGTGTACGTGACCAGAATTTCTTTAGTTCCGGTTCAATCGCGTATCTTATAACACTACTCACGTCTTCGGCAACTCCACCTCCAGGGGTTGCCGAAGTCAAGGCGCCTAGTTTCCCCGGCGAGGTGAGGGGTGACAGGATTTCACGTCGGAGTCGGTGCATCGGTGAAGCTGGACGTCGTTGCGACGGCGACCTTGACTCTCAGCGGTATGCAGGCTCGGGGGACTGAGGTCGTCGCAGGTACTCATCGATCTCCCGAGGGCGTTCACCATAACGGGGGCGCGGGTCGTTCGGGTAAAACCCGCGCAGCCCGAGTCGTCGGTATGGGCATCGGCGGTGCACTTGGTCAGCTTCCCCGCAGTGATAACAGGCAACGGGCGTCGGTCGACCGCCCTTCAGTCCTTCCTCGGCGCAGGTTGCTCTTGGCGAACGTGCTCCTGATCTTCCTGGCGTCGGAGGCGGTCGTCGGGCCATGGCGGCGTTGCTCAACGTTGGTTCCATGCCACCGTGGTGACGGGAACCTCTGGTTAGGGCGCCCGATGCACTTCTCTTCGGCTAGCCTCGGCGAAAGAAGGGGTTGGCGGACGACTGGTGGTTGGCAGCAACATTCGCAGTGCCTCCCAGATGACCTCCCGGATAATTTACCGGATCGCCTGGGTACCCGAAGTGTTTTCGACGTTAAGCAGCGTGGGTACAGCGACGCCTGGATGTCGCTGGTAGTGAAAGACGCGCGCTTGGAGGGAGCGCTCGATGTTGGTTGCATCCGTGACGAAGGCTCCGACGGTGGACGGCGGGTTGCGGACGAGGCCTCCGAAGATGTCATCCTTAGCACCTCGCATCAGGATCCGCAGCTTCCTTTCGCCCGTGGCTTGAGGGTCGGCACGAGCAACCAGCCGCAGAACATCCTCGTCGAAACTGGTGATAGTCTCGTTTGCGCTCTAGGTCCTCGTTCGAAGAAGGTCCCCAGCCCTCTTCCGTCGATATAGGTTGGTGGACGTCCGTGTCAGCGCATTCTTGCAAGCGGTCCATGAGATGAACGAAGTCTTGCGATTCTCGAGTCAGTGCCTGGCCGTTCCTTTGAGCGCGAAGTAAAGATTCTGCAGGCACTGTTAGTCCGTCCATCGGTCGTGCTGGGCCACTCGCTAGTACTGTTGTAGCCAGTCCTCGATGTCTTCATAAGGCTCACCGTGGAAACACGCGGGCGTACGGGCAGCGACGGGTAGGACACCGACGGGTGGAGTGGTTATCGTTGTGGTCTCCTTTTGTTTCTGCGGGAGGCGTCCGAGTTCCTGAGGTAGGTCTTGGTTGTGGCGACCTGATGGGGCGTCAGTGTCTTCTACGAAGGGTAGCCTTCCGGGGCTGAGCCCTTCACTTCGCCGGGAGGACTTTGTAGGTGCACGCTTCACAAGCGTAGAAAGCGTTACCCCGCACCTCCACCAAAATGTTATGAATGGCAAGTGATGAGGCGACGAAAACTGAAGTAAACTAAACGTTTAATGATGCGAACTTGTGCCCAAAACAAAAAGGAAACAGAAGAAAACAATAGAGAGTCGCTGGCGTCGAAGTCGGCGTAACAGCGGAATCGAACACTGGGGCGAGACTCACTGCTGCTCACAACGTCCGGAGTCCTTTGTGTACACGCGTGGCCGTCTGGAATAATCGGCGTAAAAGGTCCGGCGTGTAGAACATTCTGACCTCAAATAACAAACACGGTTCCCCAATTTACCAGAATATTACGTTAGAGTCAACAAAAATGGGTTCGCACGGCCAGGAATCGAACCCCGGCTTTCTGCGTGGAAGGCACGCGCGATAACCGTTGGGCCACCAGCGCGCTGGCTGCTTGGTCAGCTGCGCTCGCGGCAATATTTCCCCGAACGATCGCTGTGCAATAATGCCCTGACTACGATAAGGAACTAGGGTCAAATTTAATATAGCATCAATTAAAGGGGGAGATAAACATACGTGCGTATTAGAGACGTGTTGCTGGCGAAGCACAACCTCGGAAGCCAAGTTTGAACGCTTGGTGAAGTATTTGTGAAAGTGCCTCTATCGATTTTAATTAAACAAGCATCTAAACAAATACAATAACTTCACCAGTCGGGCTACGGTCTCCCGCGCACGCACGTTTTAGTCGATGCTACTCCGAGAATAAACACCCAACCAAGATACCCAAGGCTGAAGCGAAACGAAAGTATATGACGCAATTTTGGCGCACCGAATAAACGTGGAAGCCGCACTGTAAATAATATTGTTACTATGGGGTTGTTAATCACTAGCGAAATTTTAGTGCAGAAAACGTAAATGTTGGAAGCTAAATATATTAAGTACATGAAACAATGTTTCCCGAGAAGTGTTGCTGAAGCTGCTTGGGCAACGAGCTGCTACGGCGCCACTCGACGCTATGCAAAGCTGCTTTCCGGGATGTTTTGGATCGCTAGGTTTTTTAGAAGATGTCATGAATGCACCGCGACTGACCCAATAATGACATGAACGAGGAAACTGCAGCTTAAAAGCAATACCTTGAAATTATTTAGCGCTTTTAGCGCCCAAACAATATCTCCCAATTGGGAAGTGTTGGCTGAAAGACAAGGCTTCGTTCCATATGCGCTCAGAATGTTTTGCTTCTTAATACTTTTGAAAATAGTGGCTAGTTTCCGTAACATCGTAAGCGGGTCTCAAGGTCGAAAACGTTTACAAAAAATAAGCACCGCAGTGAACGTTACAATATTTATGATTTGAATAAGAAAAACTTTACTCATTATAAACCGCAGAGATGTTGATTACTTTTTTAACACCTTGTATAAGTTGGGATAGGGTGCACACCTTTACTAAGAGAAAAAGGGTAAACGTACGTAAAACGGACAATACATATTTTATGAAGCTAACATATACCTAAACACTAAAATATAGATATGCAGCATGCTGCGTCGCTGACGGAAGAGTGATTGGGTCTAGGGGGCACTTAAACGCTGTTTCTATACATGCATATACATTCATTAATGCTGCGAACCAGAATATTTGATGACAACCGAGAATGGGTTGAAGCGTTCCAGAATAGTACAGAT